GCTGCACACCATCTATAGTGTGCTGCACAAACATCATCGCTATGAGCTCGCCACTCTCCTTCGTGATGTCCTCACAATCCGTTTCAAGAACGAGTTCGCCATGTCCCACGTCCTTAACGCGCACTTTCTCGAGGGACAGTACCCCGCAGCGTATCACCGCTACTGGGAACTCCTCCCAATCCCCGAATCGGCCAACTACGTCTATGATGAGTCGAGCACTTCCGATGCCTCCAGTGACGAATCCGAGTCCGGCTGGAATGCATATGACCTGCAATACCCTCCAAACAACGGGTGGCAGTTACTCACGGATCAGGAACCACACGTACCGGGGACTGCTGTCTCCGCGCCTATCGCCCCTGCCGTTGCTGAGCATAACCGCCTCGATGCGCCTATCATTACCCTGGACGCATCAATCACTGCTTCTGGGGCGGACATTAGTGCGGCCACGGCAGAAGCTTCCGCCACCACCCCCGGCGACATCACTGATAACGAAGCTAATGACTATAGCAGCAGCAACAGCACCGACCATATTCTCTATGTACGTGGTGAGCCGTACTTCTGAAGGTGGGAAATTACTTAATCCGTCCACCGTGAACTCAATGCTAACTTATTATAGATCCCGATGCCTACATGCGCTCCATGCTGGGTATATCTTTCGGCCGCTGTCTTCAACCATTTCCACCCTGCTCCTGACCGAATTGCTACGATCACGACCGTTCAACACGGATGTACGATATTTTAGTTTCGACAACAAAGGCTGACGTGCGTTCTCAACAACCATAAGCGGCGCCATGGGACAGTGGGAAGTACCTTCAACGGCGCGACCCGGATGTACTGTGCCCATGCATTCGATTCAACTCGATATAACAACTGATACGCTGATTCTGATATTGCGATGTATTCAAGTAGCCTTGATCATAGTGCTGAGAATTTTATCGGCTACTTTGTTCTCGATTAAACGTGCGCGAGCTAAAACAACTTGTCCAGATAAAAGGAAGTCTGAAGCGGTACCAACCTGTTATGCTTACGTCCTAACAAATGAAAAAACAGTTGCCATGCCATGGAATCTTGGGCGGCGACTACAGCACTACCTTCGAAAAGACGTCCCCAAGCTAGGGAAGGACATTAAATGCATATTTTATCCAGTCGATATTCAGGATGAAGAAGGGAACGAATACCAGGCTTTTACCATGTATAAAAGAGTGGATAAAAAGGTTCGCCCAGTTTCTACTACCTTCTCACCTGATTACGAGGTCAAGCGGCAAATACCTGAAGACCCTATGAAGACTCTACCGGAACTGGACCTATACCCGCCAGCATTTGAACCCACTTCTCGATTAACGGTGGAGCGCCTACAGTCACTAGAAATAAACAAAGATGGATTCCTTAGCCCCGAAGAAGAGCGAGTGTTCGAGCGAGTAATGGAACTCAATCAAGGGGCACTCGCATTTGAAGATTCTGAAAGAGGTACTTTTAAAGATGAGTATTTCTCTCCATATAAATTGCGACTGTACCGCATGTTCCATGGGAATATAAAAATATTCCGATACCGCCCGGAATATTGCAGAAGGTCATTGATGTTCTCAAATTAAAAATCGAAGCTGGTGTCAATGATATGTGTCAGTCATCATACCGCTCGCGTTGGTTTTGTGTATTAAAGAAGAACGGAAAATTGTGCATTGTCCATGATCTACAACCCTTGAATAAGGTATCCATTCGAGATGTTGGGATGCTGCCTATAGTGGATGATTTTGTTGAAGGGTTCGCAGGGCGACAATGTCATACTGTCTTTGACTTATATTGGGGATTTGACGCACGGAAAATGGAGCCTGAGAGTCGTGACATGACAGCTTTTCTGACGCCGTTAGGGCTACTGCGGATAACTTCAATGCCAACAGGATACACCAACTCACCTGCAGAGTTCCAGAAGTGCATGGTGTTTATCTTACATGATGAGATTCCGCACATAGCCAATATATTTATTGATGATTTACCGATCAAAGGGCCAAAGACGCGATATCTTGATGAAACTGGCCAACCGGAAACACTGAAAGAGAACCCAGGAATCTGCCAATTTATTTGGGAACATGCTAAGGATGTTCATTGAATCATGCACAAAGTCAATTGCGCAGGAGGAACATTTTAAGCATCCAAACTTCAGTGTTGTCGTCGGGAAGCTCTGATTGTAGGGCAAGTATGCAGACCGGAAGGACGAACTCCAGACACAAAGAAAGTATCTGCCATTCTTGACTGGCCACCACTAAAAACTCCACAGGAAGTCCGAAGGTTTTTGGGACTTTGTGGGACAGTACGCATCTGGATCTTGAACTATTCCTTGATAATCTGGCCACTTACTGAGCTCTATCGTCGGAAACAGATATTTTATGGGACGAGCAGAGAGAGCAAGCGTTCGCACAAATAAAACAATTGGTGGGTAGCGCGCCAGCATTAAGATCTATTAATTATGAATCAGAAGCGCAAGCATTCCTGTCGGTAGATTCAAGTAGAGATGCAACCGGAATGATTTTATCCCAATTTGATGAGGAAGAAAGGAGGCGACCAGCCCGATATGGTTCATTACCAATGAGTGAGAGGGAATCTCGTTATTCCCAGCCAAAACTGGAACTATTTGGATTGTATCGAGCCCTTCGACACTGGAGGCTGTATCTAATTGGGTTAAAGAATCTCACCGTGGAAGTAGATGCCAAATATATTCAAGGACTGTTAAACAATCCTGACTTGCAACCTGATGCAGCTGTGAATCGATGGATACAAGGGATATTAATGTTCCATTTCAATTTAGTCCATGTACCGGCTATGAAATTTCAAGGGCCTGATGCCTTATCTCAAAGAGAGCGGGGGGACAATGAGACAGCTGAAAGTGACGATGATAGTTGGTTAGACGAAATTGCGCTTGCAGTTATCATTCCTGCCATTGACAAATTAACATATACAGTTGAATCCCTCCCTTCATGCTATCTGATTCAAAGGGATCAAGAGCAATTACTATATGATATTCAGCATTTTCTCAAAACCCTGGAAGCTCCTACCTTTAATGACTCACGAAAGCATAGGAGATTTATCAGTCAGGCGACATGATATATGATGCGAGGGAACCAATTTCTGAGATGAAACGCGAAAGGACCTCTGCTGGTCACTTCAGGCAGACATATACCTGACCCATAGTAGTTGTGTCCTCCCAGATGACTACCCCAAAGGGGTCCCAGCTATAGGGGGACACCTGTGCGGGTGGGAGCATCCACCCATTGTTGTATGGGAGCATCCAGAGAGCTGTCTGACTGGGTGCTCCCAGCGGGTTTCTCCCAACGGGTGCTCCCGGAACCAGCCCCGCAGGGGATTTTTTTGGGATTTTTGCCCTCTACAGGCTGCTTTTCATGCGCCCTGGCTAGTCCATGGTAGGCCCAGCTATCAAGGCTATTTAGTGGGTAAATTACCCACCATTCCCCGCGCTACGCACGGGGAAAAAAATCGATTTCAGGGCTGCCGTGGCAGCTATTTTGCCCTCACAGGCTGCTTTTTATGCTCCCTGGCCAGCCCATGGTGGGCCCGGCTATCAAGGCTATTTACTGCGTATATACCCATCATTCCCCGCACATAGCAGGGGGAAATTTTTGATTTCAGGGCTGCCCTAGCAGCTATTTGGGGCTCTAGATGCACCCCCCCAGCTGTCATGATGGTCCCAGCTATGCATATCCTGCAATTAGCATGTCCATCTGCTATGCTGCCGAAATCCCTCCAATTGCTATAGCAGCGAGTGCCTAGTGCATACATGGTAGACATTCAACTACCATGTTATGTTCACCTTTCTATTACCGCACCCTGAAAAAAAGGCATGGATGTATGCATATCGGGAAAACTCGGCAGCCCTCATTGCTGGCATATATTGTCAGGTGTTAGTTGGCCACCACATACAATTTCTTATTGGTGGACACCTCATGGCTCTGCCTCAGCCTTAGACGGTTAGATAGCTTTGTCTTCTACATAGTGATGACGTTGAAGTAGAATGCTGCTAGCTTCATTCAGCCACCCGCTCCGCATTTACATTTCTCTCTGTTGAGTGTGTAGTCCCTCACATTAATTCTGCCTCTTCCACAGGCTCACAGGTTACAATATTCACTTTATTCTATGCAATTCCATTGTGTATGGTGAGCTTCATCGTTGGTATTCTAGCTCATGTTCTGACAACAGTCACTTTTACTATTTATCACTCTGATAGTACTTCAACATGCAACATTCAAAGGCATCAACAACTCCTTTACTGCTCTGGAATTATTCACCACCAGTGACAGGAGCCCCCGCCATGAGTAGTACAGAGAGGTATGGGAGCTCCCATAGGAGCTCCGGTAGTGGGTGGCGGAAGCTCCCGCCCATGCTCCCAATGCAGGTACGGGAGCTCCCAGACTGGGGGATGGATGCTCCCACCCATTGACATGGGTGCTCCCGACTGTCTTCACTGGGCGCTCCCGATGTAGGTGCGGAAGCACCTGTCATATTACCATCTGGGTGCTCCCACCAAAGGCCTGGGAGCTCCCACCCTGGTGCCTCAACAGCCGGGTGCTCCTGCCAAAGATGTTAACCTGGGCGGGAGCTCCCACTGTTTCGTTACCCTTCCCGGGTGCTCCCACCACAGCTGTTTACCCAGCCGGGAGCTCCCGCCATGTTGCTCCCATTCATGGGTGCTCCCGCAGCAGGTATTGCCTCAGCTGGGAGCTCCCGTAGCCTGCTGACATTATCCTGAGAGCTCCCATTGGCTCTAGTGTTTCTATTGGGAGCTCCCGCACCATTGTTTGATTTTTACTTACTTTATCTTACCTTGTGCATTAAAACCTCCAAATTGACTGTAGCATTTGACTTATCCGCGTTGTCTCTGGGTTTCCTCACATTTTTTGATTTATGTGTAACCTCACAATTTCCTAGTAGCATTATGTATCACTAGATTTGTTTCCTTGATAATCAACTACCAATGAAATTTTTGTAATGGCCGTATAGCTTAGTGGTATAGCGTGGACTGTTGCTAAGCTCTCAAATTTAGTCCCTGACATGGGTTCGAACCCCACTGTGGCCTTGAATTGTCGGCATGTGTTTTTGGTTTTTTTCTCGTCCAACCCAGGCGATTGTCTCCGGTCGCCATCTTCGTGGCGAAAACATAAGAAAAATATTTTATTTCCTTCGTTTATGACTTGCCGTTCTTGTTCCCGGATGCCGAGATGCCGAGGTAGACCAAACAAACAACCGCTAGTGGCCGAAAAAGGAAATAATTTCCATGAACACTGTGACACAAAACTAAACTACATATTTTCGTCATTGACTCAATGAGTCGACGTTGATGGCCTACAGAAGCGTTCAGTGCTCAGTAAACCGGTGTCAGGGAAAGCCTTACAACGGTTCATAACCTTCACCATCGAAAAAACCGTAAGTCAGGCGCGCACCCGAGCCGTACTGCGATCGCTGGGGATCGAAGTAAGCTGGTCAATGTATCAGCGACCCAAGAAACCAATAATAACAGCACAACTTACTGTAATGGCCATAGAAGGCTATATGCAAATATAATGAGTTCGGTGACAATATTATAAATAGAGGGCATCCACTCACTGCACGGTGCCACTGTTGCTAACGCCTGGGCAAAAACGGGCGGCAGCGGCAGCGATTGGGGCTTTATGGCCCATGGTCGGCGGAGTGTTTGGTCGAAGGGGGAGCGGGGCAAGGTGGGGAGGGTCTTGCGAGAGCGGCGGGCTTTGGCAACAGTAGTCATGTTGGTGTACTCGAGGGACCGAGGAGGGGGATTTAGGTTGATGAAGATCCAGGCGAAAACTGCACGTACTTTATACCCCTAGAACAATGGGTGGCTTTGATCTGGTGTCCCTGGCATTATTGCCTGCTGAAGGCCACCGCTCATTATCTGTCTTAATCGGGTCAGAATCGCGAGGCGTCGATCAACTGGAATCGACGCACCCGTGCACGTGAATTGGGCTGAGACTGGCACCGGTCACTAAGTTCGCCGCATGCTCAAAAATCATACATAAAAGGTCAACCGAGCAAACAATTATTCTACCACAACGACGGCCGTTTCACAAACGGCGTGCGTACGTTATACCGCTTTTCCCCCACCATATCATGATGCGCCTCAAAATGGTGGCGCTCGATCTCCTCCAATAAATCCCGAATCCAGACGCCTGACATAATTTACTCAGTACAAACGCGAAAAAAAAACGAAAAACAATGACACCGTACGTACGTTTGTAATGTTGCTCCAGACGCCACTCGTGCCCATCCGGTGCATCCGGGTCGGCGGCCAGTAGGCGCAGCGAGAAAAGGTGGCAAGAGTCGTGGCTCGATGCAGCGGTGCGCTCAACTGAGGACCACGGTCAAGCTTAGCGGCACATAGTGAAGAGAGGGACATACAAATTGCATCAAAGCGAGGACGTTTCGGGTCGTCCTCGGGATAGGGATTGCGGATGGTGAACTCCAGAGGTGTGGACAGTACCTCTTCAACCTCCTTGGCGGTATAATAAGTCTTGAGCGCATGCGCGGTAATGGTGTGCGACTCCATTTGCTTGAAGTGGTCGTCCAGTCCGTCACCGCACGAAAATGCGTGACCAAAATTGTCTTCAAACACATGCGCTATGGGAATTCGAAATCTAAATGAGTCACCATGAAAGCGGTACGCCCAATAAGTACGTACCAGCGGCGAAATATGCCAACACATCGGGATGATCATGGCGGCGGACTTTGCCTGGGAAACGTTGTCAACGAAAAATAGCTGCGCTCCATTCAAAACTAAGGACTCACCCGCACGATGCCTCAGGACCATGAACTGTGCAACCCGAGGTTCTTTCTTGGCGAACCACGCCGCGTTCTCAGCGTCAGGCACGAACTTACCATATTTATTCTCGTAGTCTTCCACTTATAAACACGTCAGTCGTCTGTGGCATCGTGAGCTGCACATATCACTCACAGGCGTCGTCGTATGGGACCCAGGACTTCCAGTTAGCCTCGTCCTGATCGCGCTCACACGCGATGGACGCATTAGCTTCCTTTGCCTTGTCTGACAACGGCGTCAGCGTTGCCACAGATGATCAATGTAACGCACTCACTGTGGCGTTTCAGTAGCCGTTGCACCTTCCGGTTGTGGAGGATGCGCTCCAGTTCTTCCTCCTCGAGCTCTGCCGGCTCGATAAACGGATGGGGCGGAGCGTACGGGTCGGTGATGCGGGGCAATGGGCGTTTCGGCGGTCGCTGCTTGAGCGATTGACGGTGACGGCGTGCAGGAGGCATGGGGGAAGATCGGTGAACAACCGCCGTTACTCCCCGTTTATTATAGGTAATTTCCTTCTCCTTCCATTGTTGAACAAATTGCCATTTTCGCTCGAGCCACCAAGACCTGTATTATTATAATAAGTAATGTCCGCGTTCTATTGTTCAAACTTGCCGTTTTCGCTCTAGCCAAGAATATCTATCGAAGCTAATGGGGACGTCGCTTTGTTGCGAAGGCCACCTGTACGTAGCATAATCCATAAGTAAATTACTCAATCGGAATCAGATCCGCCATCGCTATCTATGCCGCCCGCAGTGTACGCCTCCCGGTACACGTCGGCGGTTTCGAGGGCATCCAGCGCGTCGAAGTCCTCCAATTCCCCGTCACTGTCTCCATCAGCCACTCGATATCCGTCGTCCCCGCACCCTGCTTTCCCGCTATCAATAATCACCCCCAGCAACTCCTCCTCACTAGGCCCCCAAGGTGTATCGCCCGCCGCCTCCGCTGGCAAAAAACGCCGCCACGTCGCGCACAGGCGCAACAGGCGCTCGCGGCGGAAGAACAATTGATAACGCGACTCCTCGTTTTCTGGATGGATAAATCAGTAAGAATTAACACGCAGCCATTGCCAACTAAGCGCACCTGCACGATCCATAGCTACATTAACGACGGTCCATTCTTCTGCAAACCACGCGCGGAGAGCCTGGCGCTCTTTGGCCAGGATCTTGTCCTCCTCATTCGCGCGATCCAACTCTAACATCGCCCGGATTCCACTGCGGACAGTCTCGCTGCTGAGCCACAGCGGCACCTCGGCCTCCTCGTCGTCATCTTGCAGACCTGCGTCTTGCCAGATCGCGTCATCGACATCCAGGGCGTAGAGCACCTTTGTCTCGATACGCTCTGGAGCAATGGCACGTGCTGGGGCGCGTCCTTTTCGGATTTCGCCAGCAATCGCGTCGCAAAGCTTGTTGTAGTCAGTTTTCAAACGCGAAATTTGGGGTTCGCGCCTTTTCACAGCTGATTCCGTATGCGTCAAAAGTTTGTGTTCTGTGAGCCGCGTCAGTAACGATGTGCGATGTAGAATTGCACGATATACCAGAGGATTGCTGGCGACGCGACGAGCGCTCAACCCGATCGCGCTCGAACTTTCGCGCACGCAGTTGGTCTCTTAGTCGAGTCTTGAGCGCCTGCGCATTCATGCGTAGCTCAAAGTACTTGCTTTTAGCCAAGTTCTTCAACGCCGCTTTGTCGTCCACCCCTAGCGCGAGCTCCTGACGCCGAAGACGATCTTTGGCCTTGCCCAGCGCGTCTCGCGCTTTGGCTAGTGCGACCTTGGTGTGAACAATGGCATCGTTGTCCTCTGCGTCGACGGCGTCCAGTGCTGCCGCTTCGCAGTCTTGTACTTGAGACTTCCGAATGGCGGTGGCATCGCGCAATGCCAGTACGGCGGCCACCGCTTTTTGTCCCCGAGTCTTGGAGCGACCTGCACAGATGAAAAATGAATCAGGCAGAGATCCACACTAGCGCAAGCTACAACTTACGTGCAATGGGCTTCGTCTGAGCCTTCACCTGCTGCGCCCATTGAGCTCGTAAGAACGCCAACGCATGGCCGGATTGCTTGAGGGCCACCTGCGCTTCCACGCGTTTTGCGGTACTGTGGAGTCTGCAGCGATGATTCCACTCGGCGAGCTTGAAGAGATTAGCTTCATCTGCGTGTTCCACCTGGGTATCTAGCGTGTAAAGGCGGTGATGATACTGTACAACTGATGTTAGTCCACAGCGAACGTCTTAGGTGGAATTCCACGTACGCTGGAAATGCGCAAGTGCGCGATGAGATGGCTAATTGAATGCCAGAATCGTTCACATCCCTCCCCGTTTGTAAAGCCGAATCCCACTCGCTTCCTCGGGTGATAGATGATCTGACAACCCCATTCATGTCCAAACGCGTGGAACACGGCGACGGCGAAGACGAGGCGATGCAGGTAGCGATCCAGGAAACCCCACTTGCGAGCCGATCGCTCTAGTTGGCATGCTACGTCGTACAGGAGGCCCACCGTGATGGCGAGCGGCAGATGCTGGAATAACGTCTCGAGCAGGAGCAGCACGTAGAACTGCTTCTCCCCTGCGGAATGCATGTTCACCAGCCAGAGGACGCGGTCGTGGCGGCAGAGGAGGGCCATTAGAGCGGTGTCGTCGTAGAACTGGGTGCTGGCCTTGACGCGCCGTTCGTCTGCCGCTTTAAAAGATGCCTCGCAGCCGTCCAGCACCGAACGCGGTACGCGCAGCTGTGGGTGCTCGTAGCCGTCCGCGTCGTCCGCCACCTCTTCCACCGTCACCCGGCGAGGGCGCTTGGCGCTGGGCTTCGTGTCGCGCACGCCATCCACGTATTCTTCCATCTTTGTGCTTAGCGTCTCCGAAATGAAGTGTGTACCCGGATGGGTTTTGGGTGGATCGGGATCGCCGGTGTTCCTCTTCTGCGTGAAGCAGGCGTCGACGCAGACGAATACATCTGCCCTGCAGAACTTTAGTTAATAAGCGGTGTGTATTGTGAGCGAAAAACACGTACGTTGCCGAGGCATCGTGCACCAGAGCACCAAAACATGCCGGGCAGCGCCGGCGCAAATACTCGCTGGGCTGTGTCCGTGGAGGTGGCTCGCAGAACGGATTTTTCACAGGTTCTGGTTCAGGAGTCGCATCTCGTCGTCGTTTCTGTGGCGCGCCGGACGGCGCTGGAGTTGGGGATGTAGAGTTCTCCCGCGAAGACAAGAAGGAGAGACGCCGCCGTCGTCTGCCTCGTTCGTTGGGAGGTG